GACTCTAGAGGATCCCCTTGCTTTCTTAATACACTTTTCTCTAGTTTTGGATGTGATATCGTAGATGGAACCACCTGACTCAAACTTATCACAAAACTTCTTTGCAGCTTTGAAGTTTTCTTCTATTCCCATTTTTATACTCATTAAACAAAATTGGGAAAGAATTGATGATAATTCTAAAGCTTCCAAAATGTTTGTCAAGGAGAATTCAGTGGATGATCTTACAGAGTCAACTGTATTCTTAATCATGTTGATTCTATCAAATAGAAGTTTATAACCTTCTGTTTTAATGGCAGGCATATTCTGGAAAGGAGCGTCTCTTAGCTGAAGGACGGAAGAGAATTGCTTTTGCAAGTATTTAAATCTTGATTCTAAATCAGCTTCATCATCATAACCTTCCGAGCTAGCAATAACAAGTTCTGCGTAAAGATCAGCTTCATCCATGGATGGATTGAGGTTGACATTAAATAAATCTTTATAAGCATCAATAATCATCTGCTTAAAAGATGAACTGTAAGAAACTTTACGTTTCAATGAAGGCTTAGAAGGTTCCTCCATGTTGCTACCTTCAAGAAGATTGGGAGTAGCTAATTCAACCTCAGCCTCAATGTTGTTGTTGGTATTGTTGTCGCTGCTAACGTCGTTGTCGCTGCCAATATCGTTGTTATTGTCAGCATCATTGTTATTGTCAGCATCATTGTTGTTATTATCAACACGGGATTCAGATGAATCACTTGAAGTTTTCTTAGCCCTTTTCCTTGCAGTAGCGTAAGAAGGAGCTGAGGTGGATGAAGTTGTTGTATTCTTCTTTGGTGTAACAATTCTTTGCCTTAATGATGACATGATGTTGAGACTATTTTTTGAGCATAATTTTTAAAATAATATTTTAATAATTTTGTATAAAAACACACTAGTTCTTCACCATGTTCAGAACTCCCATATATATATATATATATATATATATATATATATATATTTATTCTCAAAGTCATTTACAACTAATAAAGCGAAAATATACAACACTTGACTTACCAAGGTAACCAAATTACTAGATTCTAAAGGAAATACAATATATATTCATGGTATTATTCATCATACTCAAGATTCTATTACCTTAAAATGTTATTACGGCCAATTCAAACAGGCAACAAAAGACACACATTATCAGACATTGTAATAACAAATGCTCAACCTTTTGTTATAATATGTGAAATCTGTTGACAGAACAAAATGAAATACAAACAGTCTACTAATAAAGAGTTCTTACCAAGAAATCACCGAAAAACTCATGTAAAATGAAGAATGGAAAATCATTTTTAAGGGGTAAATAAATGTAATCTGAACAGATAAATGAATTTGCGAGGAATTATGATGAAAAGGATGTAGTGAGAATGGGATTTGATAAAGACAGGATGTGTAAAAAACATGATGAGGAGCATGATGAAGAATAAAAAGGAAATGATTTTTCTAACATAGATAAATATAATTTTTGTTCACATATATATATATATATATATATATATATTCACCCAATAATTTATCAAAAAAATAAAATACAAAAAATCAATTCTCATATAACAACAAAATAAATTGTGAAAATGTATAAAAATTATTCAAACTCAAATTTAGATCGAGAAACACACTAAACCACCAAACGGTACTACTAAGTTCAAGTCTACAAAAAGCGGGAAGGTGGAGCCCTCTAAAAAGTCTTGGAATTTAGAAGCCAGTCTTCTGGACGCTCCAAGACTTGACAGATATTGCTTTAATGTTAATGCCTCATCATATCAAAGATTCGACTGCTGCAACGTATGATTCATATTGGAGAAGGTTGATTGAATTTGCAATTCGTAACTTTTTCAATCCTCCACCTTCTGAAGATTTGGTTTTTTTATTTATTACTGATCTATTCATCACTTGGCCAAGTGGTGGTAATTGTAAACAAGCAAAGTTTGCAATTAAGAATAGATGTAAATTATTTGGTGTAGATGATCCCACTACATCTCAACGTATTCAATTACACATTTCAGGGATGTGCAATGTATCATACGTTTTCTCTCCACGAATTAGAAATCCATGGAGTATTGTTTATAT